GATTGGTTCATTTTTTGTTACAACAATTTTTTTAATTTTAAATAAAGTTGGACTCCATATCACGTCTGTCGTACATCTCTAATTTTTCATACCTCCTTTCCATTCTGCATTAGCAAGTAGATAACGAACGAAGTCTCCTTTCTTTAACCTATTCTCTTCATTTTTCTCAACAAGACATTTATATTTTGTTGATAGCCTTGATTCAACCTTAGCTAATTTAATTGCTTTTATAGATACTAAACCCCATGTTGATGAACTTGGAGCTCGAATGAGACGTGTCAAATAATTATTTAGGTAATCGATAACTTCTGGCAAATACTTAATCCACTCTCTTATTAATTTATGGTTCGAAGTTATACTTTCAACAGCATATTAAATCTTGTAAAGCATCTCTGCTAAAGTTTTATTAAATCTCTCTACAATTGCTGTACCATGATGGGAATATGGACTGATAACTCAAATTACTACACCATGTTCTTTCATTAGTTGGCTTGTCTGTCCTGCCCATTCTTTACCATTATTATATTGTAAAAGTGTCGGGTATGTAAGAGGGTTATTGGGATTATCATAAATTTTTCTGAATGCTTTAGCAACCTCTGAACTTTTCTTCAATATGAGAGAAATACTCGCTTTGAACCTGCTAGCCACATCTATAATTTGTAATACTGCTTTCCATGTCTTCCCCTTATATTTATCATGTGTAAGAAATAAGAGGTTGCATTGATGTACACAATTTGGTTTCTGAATTTTACCATAACTAGCCTGTGGTGTATCTTTTGACGATGGAGCATATTTTTGCTATTCATTCTGGTTTGTAAGCCACTCACATACCTTTTTATATGGGAACTAATATCCCTCCACTTTAAGATCTTTCCATAGTTTTCAAGGGTTGGAATAATACCTGTGGGCTGATAGAATAATAACCGACAAACTAGAGCCAATTTCTCATCGGTATCAATTACGATACTAGGTTGGTTCATTTTCAATACATTTTACTATATCAATAAATTATTATTTGGCAAAGTTTCTAAAAAAGTCGATATATTATAGGCTTGTATAATATTATCAAATACAGTAGCATTCCCATCTAGTGAAACAATCAAAAAATTTGTAAGTGCTTTATCAGCAATACAAAATTAGGTTTGCAAATTACAACAGAATCTAAGCTTAAAAAAAGATTATATTAAATATCTTGAAAAAGAAATTTTGGTTCGAGATGAAGAATTAGGTCCATTGCGATTAGAAATTTCTAATCTTATAAAATAGTTAGAAAATGTATTTAAAGAGTCTAAAAAGCGAGAAAATTATATAGATTATTTAGAAAAGTGATTAGCATTTTTTCAGAATGAAAATAACAAGCTTAATGAAAAAATAAAAATGTTTATTTTATATAAAAATAGCAATGATACTATAGATTCAAAAAACTATAGCTTTGCTATAGATATGGCACAACCAGGATCACCCTGATTATCTTTGCCCGAAAATCAAGCTACGATTCAAAATCATAGAATTCAGCGAGAGGTTGATAATATTAGACAGTATTTTCAAAACCCAACTACAATAACACCTATATTAAATAATATTGTAAATTATCTTAATATATTCTCTGATGCTGGTAATAGGCTTGAACGATTGGTACTAGAAATATACCCACGAGCAAATGCTCGTGCAATTAATACTGAAAACCGAGTAGCAGATTTGCAAACCCAGCTAACAAATTTGCAAACACAGATAGCTGATTCACAAACCCAGATAGCTGATTCACAAACCCAGTTAGCCATGCTTCAAAATAATTATGATCTTCTTTATCAAGCTTATAGAGCCCACAAACTTAATTATCACTTATTAAAAGCAACTTGTATAGAAAAAAATAAGCATATATCAGAGCTTGAATCTACAGTAACCTTATAGACATTACCTTTTTTATTTTTGGATCTACTCTTCTTTTTCCGAGGACACTTACGAGAATTATGCCCAGTCCTATTACAGTTTGAGCAATGATATTATGCTTTCGTAGCTTTTTTAACAGCCTTAGCTACGTGCAACTTTAACTGCTTCTTCGTAAGATTGGCAAGCTCTTCATCAGAGTCAACTTCAACTTTCTTTATTACTGGTTTTGGAGGCAAATCGGGCTTGGAGATAAGAACAAATTCTGAAACCTCACCAGTAATCCATTGTACAAATCTATCCATTAATATTTCTTGCATTTTTTGATATGTGCTAGGAGATTGTGGTCTATAATAAGGTTGAGATGTCTGCAATGGTTGTGATGGCTATATTTGCTAAGAAGCTGATTGTGAAGAAACGGATTGGGATTGTGTAGGTGTTATTAATTTAGATGACAATTTATAACTAGACTGGGGTATTTTACTAACTAATCCTAATTTTTTCTCTGCTCTTTACATTTCAATTCGCTCTAAAATTTCAAAAAGATCAGCTAATGGTTGCTCAGTACCAATGCATTCCGTATCATCTTCCAAGTCTGGAAACAAACCTTTTAGAAATTGTCTCTTAATCTGTTGCTCATTAAGATTAAGCATTTTTCCATATTTTAAAAGTTTTGAGTAAAAGTCTCCTATAGGTTCACCCCTGAGCTAATGATTTATAAACTAAATTGTGCTTTTCACTTATTACTGTAGGATATTCATTTTTGAGCTAATATAATGCTTGACCAATCCGAATGTCACCAAATACTATAGGATTAGCATTACCTGCATTAACAGCATTGGCAGGTCTATCCGATAGACGTCCTCTAGCTAAGCGCCAATCTTTAGTAAAAGCTTCAGCTGAAATCATAGAAACACCTACGGTTACTGCATTATTACTAGCAATATTTGCATAGTCATGGGCAATTGAAGAATTTCTAAAGCTATTACTAGTATTCATCTGTGCCATAGTGCGTCCCCGAAGAGCATCTATACCAGCCTGGCTATGATTTGCAAAAATATTGTGAAGTTCCCACCGTTTACCAAGAATTTTTCGATCAAACTATTCTAATGCTCGCCCATGTAGACACCCTCTAAGAATACCAAATGCTTGATCCTGATTGGCAACTGGGTCTATACCAGTGCTAGCTAAATATAACGATAATCGACTAATAAAAATATCAATATCTTCATCATATTCACCTGAAAAATTTGGTAGTAGTAATGGTTGTAATGCCATATTTGCTTGTATATTTATAGGTAAATTATTCTGTAGTGTAAAAATTTGTTGATTTAAATTCAAAATTAATTGCTCAGAATTTTGTGCCTGAGTTTTCCACTTATCCCACTTGTTGTCCAGTTGAACATCGGCAAGTAATAGATCATTTTCTAGAGTCTTGCATTTATTTTTCCACTTATTGTATCGATTTGTTGTAAGATTTAAGAGATGCGTAGTAATTGCCCTATCCGTCTTACAATCTTGTAGTTGCTGGCTGTTTTGCTGGGCTTGAATCTGAAATTGTCTATTTAAAAGGCGTAATACAAATTTTTCTTGGAGTAGCTCTGATATATGCTTATTTTTTTCTATACAAGTTGCTTTTAATAAGTGATAATTA